ATTTCTAGTTTTTCTCTAGTTTTCTTTTTATATTTGTGTCATTTCGGTTATGTACTAAGACTAAGTTGTGATGTAAGAACTTTAAATTCTGGGTTGTTAGTTAATGGATGTTAGTAATCTTGGTGGCAATATTGATTTTTAATTTCTAAATCTTATTATGATGTCCTTAAATTTGGGACGTCTCCACATGGTATCAGAGCTTAGGTTGAGAAACCCTTGAGACCTTGGGAAACCCTAAGCTTGCTTGTTAAATAACTTATTAGTGGTTATAGTGAGCATTTTTAGTTACTAAGTAAAATTTTGATTTTTGTAGATGGCAAACGAAAATCAAAATGGATGGTTGGAGGAAGAACCTGAGATGTTAGATGAGCCTATTGACTGGGAAGAGGATCTAGAGGAGGATCCAGAGGAGGACCCAGAAGAAGAGCCAGAAGAGAACTTGGAATTAGAGGAAGAACTTGAGATGTTAGATAAGCCTATTGACTGGGAAGAGGATCCAGATGAGGACCTAGAAGAAGAGCCAGAAGAGAACTTGGAATTAGAGGAAGAACTTGAGATGTTAGATAAGCCTATTGACTGGGAAGAGGATCCAGATGAGGACCTAGAAGAAGAGCCAGAAGAGAACTTGGAATTAGAGGAAGAACTTGAGATGTTAGATAAGCCTATTGACTGGGAAGAGGATCCAGATGAGGACCTAGAAGAAGAGCCAGAAGAGAACTTGGAATTAGAGGAAGAACTTGAGATGTTAGATAAGCCTATTGACTGGGAAGAGGATCCAGATGAGGACCTAGAAGAAGAGCCAGAAGAGAACTTGGAATTAGAGGAAGAACTTGAGATGTTAGATAAGCCTATTGACTGGGAAGAGGATCCAGATGAGGACCTAGAAGAAGAGCCAGAAGAGAACTTGGAATTAGAGGAAGAACTTGAGATGTTAGATAAGCCTATTGACTGGGAAGAGGATCCAGATGAGGACCTAGAAGAAGAGCCAGAAGAGAACTTGGAATTAGAGGAAGAACTTGAGATGTTAGATAAGCCTATTGACTGGGAAGAGGATCCAGATGAGGACCTAGAAGAAGAGCCAGAAGAGAACTTGGAATTAGAGGAAGAACTTGAGATGTTAGATAAGCCTATTGACTGGGAAGAGGATCCAGATGAGGACCTAGAAGAAGAGCCAGAAGAGAACTTGGAATTAGAGGAAGAACTTGAGATGTTAGATAAGCCTATTGACTGGGAAGAGGATCCAGATGAGGACCTAGAAGAAGAGCCAGAAGAGAACTTGGAATTAGAGGAAGAACTTGAGATGTTAGATAAGCCTATTGACTGGGAAGAGGATCCAGATGAGGACCTAGAAGAAGAGCCAGAAGAGAACTTGGAAGAAAAGTTCGAAGTAGGAGTTGAGGGCGATTCCGATCCTAAGTTTGACTCTGATCAGGAGATGGTGGAGTCTGATCCTGAATCCTCGATAGAGGACGGCCCTGAGGCGGCCTTGAGGCATATAATGGTGCCACCCGTCCTGCCATATGGAAAGGCAATATTTGTGAGGGTTACCCCTACTAGGATGTGCTCTTGGAGGAGCTTGCCTAGAAAAGATATGTTTATCGGGCCAATTCAGATAAGAGAATATCTAGACAATAATTTCTATCGAGTATGGAACCTACCTCCACAATACGTCGCAAACAAGGGCGATGCGTTTCTATTACAAGATATCTGGACTACCCATCCTCTTTTCGGTCACGTTGTCTGAACCCTTGACCCATTGGTGAATTTTTATAGAGCTGCCACGTATCACGAGATTTCTACCTGCGTGATTAGGCGAATGGTGGGTCAGAATGGGGTGCGGATGGTCCTTGTCCGCTGGGAGTGTTATGGGCTACCTGATGAGGCATGGGAGTTTGAGGAAACAGTGCGTCAACGTTGTGCCTATTTGCTTAGTTAGGAAATGACAAGTGTAGAAGTTAGGACAACAACAAATTTTGTAGCACTTAATTGTAATAGTCCTAGCTTCTAACTTAGGGTTTTTGGTTTAAAAAAAAAAATTGCAGGGGTAGAATGGATTTTTTTTTGTGTTTTCCTTTTTCTTTAATGAATGTACTGATCTTTTATTATCATTGATGAAATCCTAGGGTATGTTTGGTAACCATTTTATTTTCAGTTTTTTTTTTTTTTTTTGTGTTTTCCTCTTTCTTTTATGAATGTACTAATCTTTTATTATTATTAATGAAATCCTAGTATTTAAAAGTTTGTGTGTTGGACAATTTTGCTGGCATTTTATTTTTAAGCAAAAATAATAATAATAATAATAATAATAATAATAATAATAATAATAATAATAATAAATTTTAAATAAATAAATAAATAAATGGTGTAACAATAATATTCTTCGTACAAAAGATGGCAGGAAGAACTAGAGCAAATGGATCCAATGACAACAACAACAGTGACGTTATGAATTTCATTCGGGAAATTACTAATGAACTAAGAAACCAACCCAGGCGTTAAAACAACAAAGCAGAATTAATAGCGAAATTTCAAAAACTCAGGCCCCAAAAATTTTTCGGAGAACCCAATCCCTACTTCAGAACGAGCAGGACCAAGTGTCCCTTGTTTCATTTCTCTTTGACGGGGAGGCCGATTTCTGGTGGACAATGATTAAGGAAAGCCGTCAGGTGGCAGACCTCTCTTGGAGACAATTCGAGGAATTGTTTATGGAAAATTACTTCCCAAACTCAGTAAGGCAAGAGATGATCCAAGAATTTCTCCAACTGAAACAAAGAGGCATGACTGTGACACAGTATGCCAATCGATTTGAGGCCCTTTCTCGCCATACCATAACTATAGTGGCAAATGAAACAGATAAGGTAAGGCGCTTCGAGTGGGGACACGACTTAGGGATCCGAGACAAGCTGGTTGCAGTGTAGCTACCTACTTATGCACAGGTAGTAGATAGGGCTCTTACCTTAGAAAGAGAAAAGATGGACACTGCAAGGACTCAAGGTCAGCAGTCTAGAGCCAACCAGCCAAGAAGTGGAGGACCCTCAAGGAACAACAGGATCCATGCTGCCTCGGCACCTTATGCTAGGGGGCCACAACAACAGCAAAGGTACAATCCTAAACAGCGTAATAAGGAAAGGGCTAGAAGGTGTTATGAATGTGGCCAAGAAGGGCATTTTAGGAGTAATTGCCCTTAGAGGTCAGGCCACTACATCAATCAAGAGGAGGCCACTCAGCGAAACAAATGCGTACCAACTCAAGGAACGCGAGCTGCGCAAAATTCCCAATCTGGCAGAGGTCAGCCGCCAGCTAATCGAAATGTGGGGCAATCAAAGACTCAACAACCAGGAGATGCCAATGCAAGGAAACCTTGGGTGCCAAACCAGGGTGCCACCGGAAGAGTCTTTGCACTCCAAGAAGGAGAAGACAATGGAAATTCTTCAGTGATTCAAGGTATACTCATCCTTATGAACTCTTGTGTACAAGTCTTGTTTGATTCTGGAGCATCACACTCTTTAATATCTACTTCATGTGTTGCAACTTTGGGATTAGAGCCTGAACAATTATAAACACCTATCACTCTTTCATATCTACTTCATGTGTTGTAACTTTGGGATTAAAGCATGAACAATTAGAAACACCTATGAGTGTAGCTTCAACGCTAGGAGGTCAAACTCGAGTAGATCTCGTATGCAAATCATGTGAACTACGAGTCTCTAGCTTACGTTTTACTTGCGACCTACAAGTCATGGAAATGTCATATTTTGACGTTATCCTAGGAATGGACTAGTTATCAGCCCATAGAGCCACCATTGATTGCTATCGAAAGACGGTGACTGCTTACTCTCAAGATGGAACGCGATTCCAATTTAAGGGGGATAAACAAGATTCCCTATCACTAACATTTGGAAAGTCAAAGTGGCATGATCACCTAGCTGGGTGCTAACCAGCTTAGTTCTGGAAGACAAAGATCGTATGGAACTAGGGCTACCTCGTGTGGTGTGCGAGTATACTGATGTGTTTCCAGAGGAGTTACCAGGACTACCCCCAAAACGGGAAGTGGACTTTACCATTGAACTACAACCTGGTACATCACTGATCTCGATGGCACCACCTCGTATGACACCAGCTGAATTGAGAGAGCTAAAGACACAGTTGCAAGAATTGTTGGACAAGGAATTTATAAGGCCAAGCACGTCCCCGTGGGGAGCACTAGTCTTATTTGCTAAAAAGAAAGATGGGACACTTAGGTTGTGCATTGATTATTGACAACTCAATAGAGTCACCATTAAGAATCGGTATCCACTACCTAGAATAAATGACCTTTTTGATTAGCTTAGAGGGGCAAAGTATTTCTCAAAGATAGACCTTAGGTCTGGGTATCACCAATTGCGTGTTCGGGAAGAACATATTCTTAAGACTGCGTTTCGAACCCATTACGGCCACTATGAATTCGTAGTGATGCCATTCCGCCTAACCAACGCACCGGGCATGTTCATGAGCTTAATGAACAAATTATTCACGCCTTACTTAAATCAATTTGTGGTAGTTTTCATATATGATATTTTGGTGTACTCCAAGTCTGAAGGAGACCATGACCAATATTTGAGAATAGTACTTCAAACTTTGAGAAAGAACCAATTGTATGCTAAGGCTAGTAAATGTGAGTTCTGGATGGGGGAAGTAAAGTTTTTGGATCACGTGGTATTTGAGAAGGGAATATCAGTGGACCCAACTAAAGTAGAAGCAGTGCCAGAATGGAAGCGACCTAAGAACACATTTGGGATTCGTAGTTTCTTAGGATTGGCCGGTTACTATCGAAGATTCATTCAAGACTTTTCAAAATTGGCCAAACCAATGACACATTTGACTCAAAAGGGGGTAAAGTTTGAATGGAATGAGTCTTGTGAAAATTCATTCCAAGAACTCAAGAAAAGATTGACGAGTGCCCCTATTCTTATAGTGCTGGAACGTGACATTGGGTACAACGTGTATTGTGATGCTTCCAAAAAAGGTCTGGGGTGCGTATTGATGCAGAATGGCAAGGAGGTGGCATATGGATCAAGGCAATTAAAGAACCATGAAAAGAATTATCCCACCCATGACTTGGAGTTAGCAGCTATAGTTCACGCACTCAAAATTTGGAGACACTACCTATATGGTGAAAAGCTTGAAGTATCTGTTCACCCAAAGGGATTCAAACATGCGTCAGGGACGTTGGATGGAGTATCTCAAGGATTATCAATTTACCCTTTCCTATCATCCTGGTAAGGCTAACGTGGTGGCAGATGCCCTAAGTCGCAAGAATAGAGGGATTGTTGCTAGTTTAGCACTTAGAGAATGGAATATGGTTGGAACGCATAATGAATTTGGGGTACAATTGGGGGTTCAAGATGAAGAGGCTTACCTTGGTGCTCAGATCGCTACACCTAAAATTTCGAGCGAGATATTGAAATCACAAACGTACGATAAGGAGGTAGCATTCATCAAAGCATAAATGAAATCTAGTGAAGCCATGCCTGGTTGGGAAATTCACACTGATGGGAGTTTGAAATATCAAGGTCAAATGTTCGTGCTAAGCGACAACTCACTAAGGGAAAAGGTACTCAAGGAATTCCACCATTCAGTATTCGCAGTACATCCAGGAGGTACTAAGATGTACCAAGACTTAAAACGCCAATATTGGTGGAGCAGAATGAAAAGGGATATAGCAAAGTTTGTGTCTCAGTGCCTGACATGTCAACAAGTAAAGGCTGAACATCAAAGACCGGCAGGAACACTTCAACCCTTACCGATTCCGGAGTGGAAATGGGAGCACATAACCATGGATTTTGTGACGGGTTTGCCTCGGTCACCACAGGAACATAACGGCGTATGGGTGGTGGTAGACCGATTAACTAAGGTAGCCCGGTTCTTACCTGTCGGGTCATCAAATACGTTGGATTCACTCAGTAGATTGTTCATCAAAAAAGTCATCAGATTACACGGAGTGCCGATTAGCATTGTGTCTGATCGTGATCCTCGATTCACTTCTCAGTTTTGGTAGAGCTTGCAGAAGGCAATGGGAACAAACCTATGCTTGAGCACAACATTTCACCCATAAACCGATGGGTAGTCTGAAAGGACGATACAAACCTTAGAGGATATGCTTCGAGCTTGCGTTATGGATTTTAAGGGAAGTTGGGAGAAACACCTACCTCTTGTTGAGTTCACTTACAATAATAGTTTCCAAGCCAGTATTGGAATGGCACCGTATGAAGCACTTTATGGACGACCTTGTCGGTCACCAGTCTGTTGGACTGAAGTAGGGGAAGTAACCTTGTTAGGACCAGACTTGGTTCAGGAGACCATTGAGAAGGTAAAACTGATCAAACAACGGCTAACCACAACCCAAAGTCGACAAAAGAGCTATGCAGATCAAAGGAGACGACCCTTAACATTTGAAGTAGGGGATCATGTTTTTCTCAAAGTTCGACCTTGTCGAGGTGCTACACGATTTGGGAAGAAAGGGAAACTTGCACCTCGGTATGTGGGACCCTTCGAAATCTTGAGCAAAGTAGGAGAAGTGGCGTACCGTTTGGCTTTACCACCTCAACTGGCTGGAGTACATAATGTTTTTCACATCTCTATACTACGAAAATACGAGCCACACCCTTCTCACATCATCAATTGGGAAGAAATTAATCTTGATGAAGACGTGTGTAGACGCGCCCGCGTGGGGGGGGCCTCGCTGCTACAGTTCGGACTCGCGAT